TGTTTCTTATCTCCCTTATTGATCTCTGCCAATCTGATTTCTTTTGAGGCTGTAGGTACTATTAGGGATTAATTAAATTTTGTCATTTGATTGAAATTATAGAATTTTATATGTATCTATCTATTCATATCCATATCCATATCTATATCTATATTTATCCATCTATATATTATATAATAAGATGTAACATAATCAGTAATTAAACACTAATTTTGTAATTTTATATTAATTATTAAAAATAAATTGAAAAATAGAAAAAATATTATTTTTACATTAAAAACATAATAAATGTGATTAATAATTTAATTTAACTTTTTTATTTTCTTTAATTTCTTATCTTCCACTTTATTATTATTATTATTATTACTATTATCATCATTATCATTATCATCATCATTTCTAAGGGATTTGGCGTGCTACAAAACTCTTAAGAATTTAATTATTGTTATTATCTCAAGTTAATTTAAAAAATTAATTAATTAATATTTTAAAAAAATTTTAAATTTTTCTTAACTTACCAAACAGTAAAAAAATATTTTAAAAAATAAAGTTATTTTTCTCAGACCAAATGGGCACTTAGCGTCCATTTTTATGATTTTCGAAATGTTTACTTTATACGACGTCGTATAGGTGTATCCCTTCGGCTCTTACAATGGCGCTTATCAAACCCTCGCTCAATCAAAACCCGGTGGCCTTCCCCTGTGAACATTCCAGAGTTGTTTCCCTTTTTTCCGCTACTTGGATCAACACTTCCGCTCTCCACAAACTTCGCCTTCCCGGCGTCGCCATTCATTAACAGATCCGATCTAAGTTCTCCCTTTCAGGGTCGACTTCTTCCAATCGCGAACCAGAATGGCAATCTCTTCTCAAGCTCTTGATATTCAAGGAGAGCGTTAATCTGTTCAAGACGTGCGCACTCAAAACAGTATTTCCTCTCTACGTCTCTTCACGTCTTTATGCGTATTCTATTATCGCCGTTGAAGTTATTTTGCTCGATAAATTGCGAAACTGAGTTGATTCCAACCTTATTGAGGTGTTTTCCTCGCTTTAGACTCAATTTTCTCTCATTTTGGATGCGTATAATAATGATGGCGTGCCAAGCAGTTGCTAACATCGTCAAATCCTCACTAGGCGCCGTTGGACTCGACAAGGTATGTTTATGCAAATGCCTTATTTCACTGCTTTATGAGGTTTTAACTTGCAAACTATGACTATTTTTATGTTGCAATTATGATACCTAGTGAAAATCAGTTGAGTTTGTTTTGGACGATATCTATTATCTATGGTATTACTATTGGTTTTATTTTTAAAATGTTGTTCAAATAGTTTAAGATTGTTAGGATTGGATTTGAGTTTGACTCACTATGATTTGTGTTGTTTTATTTCAGATGCTTGTTGATGATATTGGTGATGTAACAATTACTAATGATGGTGCTACAATTCTCAAGATGTTAGAAGTGGAGCATCCAGCTGCCAAGG